TACCTGCTCGATGAATGAGTTTAATTCATTGACAGCTATGGCTCATATGAGAGCAGGAGAATCAATGGCGAACGACAAAGCACACCGTGCCCATGAGTCGCAATTTCCCTGAATATTGAGTGATTGATGCATGTGAGGTTCTACCAGCCTCATAGCAATGCGCATCGACTTTTTCTTGTAAATTAATACGTAGGAAAAAAACCATTCGTAAGCTCAGTACGTACGTTTCTAGCTGAACTGCTGGACTGAGATTTCTGAGCCCCGCCGACAACAAAATGTTACTAATTTTTAGCTAGATCTAATACTTTCAGTTTCAAGAACAAGGGCAGTCTTTCGGATAAGAATTTGCATTTTGTGCCGTTTTGCCATTGTGTTGATTAATGATAGTTGTTTCTCTGTTCTGATCGTCCATCCCAAAACATACACAGTTGCACGTCTTTATGCCCTCCAAAATTTTCTGAGGTGACTCACCTGTTGAACCCATTTTCAACTCGTGGTTTATATTAGCCTTTAATTCAGTTCTTCTGAAGACGTTACGAAAAACGAAATAAGCAAACCGTAAATAGAGTCAATCTGTCCTCTGATGAAGATTCCCTGATTCGAGTTTTGGAACGTTTTTCTACCACATAACTTTATGTTTTGCGTTTGCAGTCATGATGCCCTTCATCTCGACAGATCAAATTCGAATAGATGAGAATTATTAGGTTTTAATTACCACTAAAGTCATCAACAGATATTCATATCGATTATGAGTTGACGTATCCAAAGATGTAGTATTCTACGAAAAAAAGAAATGTTTCAGTAAAGTGGCTATGGACCCGATGAAGGCCCATGGTTTCAACGTTCACTGCGGTAGTGGACGTTTTAGAGAACAATCACACTGCCCATCGTCCAAGTGTGCACTAGCGGTCTATTCTGTATATAAATACACTGATAGCGAACATTGTACTGTTATTCAGACGTCAACTTGTGAATAAAATTTTTTCTTCGACCTCGAAATTTCTTTGCATCCATAACCACCAGGACTTCCTTCCCATGAAACTTCATCTTTTATTACCCCCCCCCGTTCATGACCAATTGTTTTGAAGTGATAATAAGCCTTCATCG